GAGTGGGAGAGGGAGGTCATTCACAAGCTCAACAGTCATGATCGCTAATGTTAATGCTCCAAGATAAACCTGGGTTTTATGCATATATTTCTACATATTTCTAAAGAGAGGATCCCACTATATAGGCCAGGCTGTCCTGGAACTCGGGATGTTCATGCCCCCGCTTCCTGAGCACTCAGGATTACAGGTGTGCACCAACATGTCTAACTTTTGCTTGGCCTATTAACCAGCTCTTTCCAATGACTCTATTTTCATCTTTTCTTTTTTTTTCCAGACAGGGTTTCTCAGTGTAGCCCTGGCTGTCCTGGAGCTCATTCTGTAGATCATGCTGGCCTCAAACTCACAGAGATCCACCTACCTCTGCCTCCCAAGTACTGGGAATAAAGATGTATGCCACCCCCATCTGGCATCGATTTTCCTCTTAAATGACTATCCAGAATCCCACTTTGTGAGATTTTTATACATTGTAATGAGTGCTCTCAGACACAATGTCATCGAATCCTTGAGCCTAACAGATTGCCAGGCTAAGTGGAGAATCCCTAGAGAGCATGTACTAACATGTTCCATTCCCTGGGGCCCAGGACTTTTCCTGGGGGAGGGCAGACAGCCCACAGTCTATGATGCAGATTTGCTACAATCAAACTGAAGGACGTGCCAGGTCAGCCTCAGGACTAGGGTGCAGGGTGCATCTCTTCATCTCTCCATGGTCCCCCTTTGTTGCTGAGAAGCTTGGTGGAACCATTGGCTCCTCCATCACTGAATGAGCATCTTATGGACACTATTGGTTGTGTCTACAGGCCAGGGAGCAGGGGCATGCCCACAACAAGCTCAGTAAATATCCTGATGATGTTAAAACTGCACCTCTGGCTGTCTGGAAGAGTCCACAGTAAATGCCAGTGACCTCCACATCTCCACTTTGCAAAGGAGAAATAAGTTTGTATATGTTAGGTACCATTAGACTCCGTCCTTGAGATAGGATGGCCCCTTAAGTTCCTCATTGACTAGAGATCCTTAGGGAAGAGGAAATGGAAGGGAAGGTGAGATTTTTGTATATATTCTCCCACTTTTACTGCATTGAATTGGGACTCCCCGTCTTTGTCCTTAGCGATATAATTCATGTAGAGCACTTCGCATGGTACATGGCACACAGTAAATAATAAATGTTGGTCTGTATTGTCATTGGGTTCAATACTGTTGTTAGTGCCTCTCAATATGATCCAGTAAGGTAGGTGGCTATGTAAGATAAGAAAACTGAAGGTCTTGGTAAGCTGTTTCTAATAGTTACCCCTACAATCACACCAAATCAGCCATGCCCATGCATGTTTCACTGGTCTGCGTAAGGCAGAAAACACAAGAAAGCCACTTGCCATGTGTCTCTAGAGATCTATGGTGGACAGGTAAACTGGAGGTTGTGCCCACAGCCTTGAACATGCCGGATAAGCATCCTACCACTGAGCCGCATCCTCAGCCCCAGGTGACTGTCCTTGCATAAGCCACACAATGCAGGGAGGAGCCTGGGTCGCAACCAGGCAGCCTGTGAGTTGGGAAGTAACGAATATAAACCTAAATGAATTCCTGTGAATACCCACAGGGGGCAATAACCCAAGATGAGGAGAGCCCGGTCATGCTGACTCCAAAGGTCCGAAGCCTGTTTGAAAGAATAACTGTGACATTTGACAGGGCTGGACCCTCGACTGCCACTTCCTGGTAGCCAGGGCTGGGGTGGGATGAATCCAGCCTGGGGCTCCCATGCCAAGCACTGTCCACCACAGCTCAGAGGCTGGAGGCTCCACTTTCCACACTGCGGAGCCAGGGAAGGCTCAGCCAGCCTCCGCTATTTATGCTGTTTCGTTATAGGTGGTGTAATGAGCACCACATGAGCTGGGGGCAGAAAACAACACCTGCTTCATTAGCCTTTTGCGATGCTGTTAATTCCACGATTCAGGCTGGACCCCCAGGTTCTGCTCTTTGCTCCCCAGTATCTGGGGTCTTGGTTGGGCCAGCTCGAATGGTTACAGTTATTGCTCAGCTTATGATCTGCCTAGGCCCTGGGGTTCCCCCATGTCCTGTGTGCCGAATGGCACCTCAAGTCCTATACCTAGGGGCTCGGCTGGGAACTGTGTGGTGCCTGGATTGATCCGGCCCTGCTCCTTATCAGGTGGCACCTTCCCCTGGTCCACTCAGCATCCAGGCATAGTGGCCTCAGGGTGGTCAGACGTCACACAGTCCTAACTCCCAAAGCAAATGCTGCCCGGGCAGAGGCTACAAGACTCCTCCCAGTCTGTATAACAATAAAACTGTCTTTACATTACTCATGGTAATTAACCTATTCATATAATGAATATCCTTAATGTATAATTAAGTCCTACTACAATATGGCTTTCTATTTTGTCCTAACAGTGTCCAGCTCTCATAAAGAAAAAAAAAATTCTCTTTCCATTGTCCATCGTGGGGATGACACAGGAGAAGCAGGCAGAATGATCCTGCAAAAAAATACATTGGAACATTGTATTGAGGGTGTGGCTCCATGTACAGCATCTGCCTGCCCAGGGCCCTGGGTTCCACCCCTGGGAAGAGGCGAGGGGTGGGGGGAGGGAGGACGGAGTAAACGCATGTCCTCAGGTCCTCCCTGACAGCACCCGTTCCCTGCTGGGTCTGGTACAGTTGAGACAGTGAAGGTCTCAGTGCCTACAGCCCCTCTTTCTCATCCAGCATCCATATTTCAAACATCAAGGCCACAGGAAAGACAGAAAGGTAACAATAGCTAATTCTTCACTGAATCACAAAAGAACATTCTAAATCATCCTTTAAAAGATGGGGGTCAGTGGAGGCACACAACTTTAATCCCAGCACTCAGGAGGCAGAGGCAGGTAGATCTCTGAGTCTGAGGGCAGCCTGGTCTACGGAGAGAGTTCAAGGACAACCAGGGCTACACAGAGAAACCCTGTCCCCCCCCCCCCCAAAAAAAAAAAGAAAAGAAAAAGAAAAAAAAAGCAAGACACCTGCCATCCCAGCACTGGAGAGGCTGAGGCAGGATGACTGTCACAAGTTCAAAGCCAGTTGGGGGTTGGATGGTCTGGTCTCCCAGTCGGTCATTTAAAAGGGCAAAACATCTGTTTAGCATGCATAAGCTTTTGGCTTCCCATCGTAACCCACGGTAACCACATGGAAATCCCAGCTGCTCACATGAGTGGTCCTGGCTTCCACGTGAAGATGCTGTCATCTTACACAGCTCTCACTTGGAGGAACTTGTCTGAGGCTGATGGTGAAGGAATTGCACCTACGTGCTTGCTCAGATTCTCACCAGCCCCCGAACACAAGTGTCTGCTACAGACACTTTCCGCAGGAAGGCTGAACAAAGCCAAGAACGGCAATGCGCTCCTGACACTGAGGACGTCAGGAGGCCCATCAGTCCTCCACGACCCCCGCCAGTGCTGAGGGAAAGCCAACAAGGACTTGTGACGTGTGCCGAGTGTAGGCAGAGGCAAGGGCTCAGCCCTCTTTGTGCAGTGATGGTCAGAGCTGCCTCCTTGTCCTCCTCCACTATTGTTGCTGTGCTGCTAATTTACTCGGCTGACTCATTCGCGGAGGCAAACACGGCTTAGCTCTCTGTACTTCAGGGAAGAGTGTGACCTGGCTGTGCAAGGGACAGTATCTCAGCATCAAATGTCCACTTGCTAGGTGCTCAGAGACTGACCCACCCTCTGTCAAACCAGCCCCTCGAGATCATAGGCGTTGCCCCACTTGGTTCAAAGACCATGGCCTTGACCTAAAACCTGGTTGGTCTTAGTTGGTGAGTCTCTTCCCCATGGCCTTGGAAGGCCGTCCCACGTCATCCCTCCTCACTGAGTTCTAGGCCACCCCACTGAGTACCAAAAACAACAACAGCCCCAACGCTTCTCCCAGCCCGCTGAGAAGGCATGGAGGATTCGGAATGAGACCGGCAAGACAAAGCATGCTATCTGCAAATTTGAAAAGCCACACAGAAACACCGTGGGGACAATCAGAGAGTGAAAAGTTTGAGACAGATGGTGGCTGCTCTCCGCTGCTGCAGACTGAGAACATTCCCAAGCTCGGGGTGTGGCTTAACGTAGAGCTGTTGCTAAGCATGCATGAGCCTACAGGTTCAGTCCCCACGCACATTCTGTGTGGACCGGTAGGCATCCACTTTTTGAATGGCACAGCCTGACCTCCCTCCTTTGAGTGGCTAATGTCATGCTGTCCCTGTGAAAGATGGTGAAGGGGGAAAGCTTCACGTGGAAGAAAAAGCAGAAATCAAAAGAAGTACGTGAAGAAGGACGGGCAGAGACCACCCTGAGAGAACCGGTCCGAGACAAGACACGTACCTCGCAGGAGAGGTTTGGTGTGGCGTCCCAGCCCGACAGGTTCTCATGTCTCTTGGTGATTTGATGATAAAATATAGAGTGAACCCTTGGGGAGTGCAGAAATCCTTAAGAAACAGACAGATAATTGGCTCCGTGTGAGCGGTGTTTGCATGCTCGCTGCTGCTGCTGCTGCTGCTGAGAGACGCCACACCAGAATGACTAATACTTCTCCCTGGCCTAAATTAGATTCTGATTGTGTTGTGTATATATCCACCGGATCACAGATGTTAGAGGGGGAAAAAAAGACCCAAACTTCTCCGGAACACCTCCTGTGGAGCGTGTGGGATCGTCTGCGCCAGGCGTGACACCACTACTAACCCCTTCCCACCCCCATGGGAGCTCCACCTGGAGAGCACCTGGGGCTGGCGGGCTGCAGAGGGAGCTGTACATAGAGGAGTAATGAAGGAGACCCCGCAGTGTGGCTCCACACAGATGCTCCCTGGGTGGCCAATGCCCAGCGTGTCTGGTTCTTAGAGATTGTCCCGGAGTCACTGCAGCTGCAGGTAAAGTGAGCAGTTGAAGGCCCTCCCTAGCTCGTGTCCTACACTGGCCCTCAGCCATTCATTCTGGTCCACTGGTTGCCAGTAGTAAATGCTTTGTTTGCTTCTCTTGCAGAATTTAGCCTATGAAATCATCCTAACCCTGGGACAGGCATTTGAGGTCGCTTACCAGCTAGCCCTACAAGCGAGAAAGGGGGGACATTCTTCCACGCTTCCGGAAAGCTTTGAAAACAAGCCCTCCAAACCCATCCCCAAGCCCCGCGTTAGCATCCGCAAGTCAGTGGTAAGTAGTGGAGAAAGGCGTCTCTAAGCCTGCCGCCAGAGGGGGGCGGGTTGCAAACAGGGCCCGGTTTGCAGTAGGGGAGGCCTTTAGAATCCAGCCTGCCCTCCCCTGTCCTTTCCCTTGGTCTCCTGCTGGCATGTGACCATCATCCTTATCTTGGTTCCTGCAGTCTCCGAGAATCCTCTCCCCGACCCAAAGGTACCAGAGAGAGAAATCCCATTTTTGCTGCCACCTGCAGCAGCCGCAACCTCGGGAGGGCAGAATACTGGCTGCCTCTTCTGTTTATGGTATGGCTTCCCAGAAGGTCTAGAAAATTCTGGGGGCAGCTTTCTGTGAGGCCTCACCTGCCATCCTAACCGAGTCAGGCCTCTGCCCCTCCAGAGAGGTTTGCAGAGGCTCAGGGTGACGATGCTCTGGTACCCTCCTGGCAAACGCCAGATGCCCCCAGCTTCTGTGTCTTTCGAGAGGCCAAGGCATCATCCTTGCGATGCCTGGGCCACATCCTGTGTGCCTTCCCTCTGGACAGCTGAAGCTCCTTGCAGCCTAGTCACTGCTAGAAGGTGACACCCCTCTCCTCCCTGTCATCTACCTCCCTCCAGGAACTTCCTCCCTTCCCTCCCTCCCACAGGCTCTGCAGACTTCCTGTCCCAACAGGCTGGTATGACTACAAAGCGGCCGCCTCTGGTAGTAGCAACACCCCAGAGCTGGAAGGCGCCCAACCAGCTTCCCATCTGCTTTCTGCTCCAGCTACCTACCATCCTGCATCCTAGAGTCTCTGGGATTGGCACCGGGCAGGCCCCCAGAATGCATTGCCCCCCTCACCCTGCAATCTTTCCATCTGCCAAATTCTCCTCCCAGCAGCCCTCAGCCTCCATGTCATGCGGAAATAGACATTTTTAACCTCCCAAAAGAGGTTCCTTCCTTTGGTGACGATGTGGCTACTGGTTCTGGGGCCCCTCCCTCTCCTGTCTTGGGTAACTTCTGCACCCGCGGGGATGACCCCTCAGCTGACTGGTCATCACCAAGGGCTGTCCCTCTCAGATCCCACACTGCACTGCTACCCCTGACCTTCCTGCCTCAGCACCACCCCAGCCCATGCTCCCAGCGCCCTCTCTCTCCTCTCTCCAGTCCCGCCAAACCCCAAACTGGGACGCGCCTGCTCAGTCCATTTTTAAGCATCTCCACCGAAATCAACATAAATCCTTGCTTCTCTCCTCCCTCTGCTGGGCCCCGTAAATGGCACAACCCTCCATCACGCTGCTCGCATCCAAACCCACAAGTCCCCTTGACTACTGCTGCATCCACACCTCTCCATCCAACCCGTGAGCAGGGGCCATTCTCTGTTCCCCTGGAGTGCACCTTCAGCCTGCCCACTCCTCTCCATTTCCTCCTTCAACCCCGCCCCTCCAATCCAAGCCCTTCCTGGTTTCTCCCTTTCTCCACACAGCAGAGACCCTGGCACCCAGGAAATACCACACTCCGCCCCGTTCCTTGACTATCCACTTCTCAGTGTCGCTTAAGTCTCTCCCTACAGCAGGAAGGCTCTCTTCCACCTCCCCTAGCCCCCGCCCCCATCCCTGCCCTGCATGGCCCCCTCCACGGGACCCTAAGAGTCACAGTTGCATGAAGACGCTTTTCCTGCCTGAAATAGATGCCTGGTCACACTCTAGCCCCCTTTCCTTCTCTGTAGTATTTACTGCGTTTGTTTTCTTGCCACTTATCTCTGCCTCTCTACTTCATGACATACACTGACATGCTGTGACCCCGGGGGCCAGGGCCTTAGCATCCACTTAACACACATCTGTTCTTAAAGAAGTGAGATCCTGCCGGTGGATTTAACAAATGTGTCTCTGAGTCTGACTAGGCTTCTGGGTGTCCAGGAACGCACAGCATGCTTGGGGGATTGTCACTTAGGCTACTATATTCCTTCTCGTGTGGGCTGGGTAAGTCTGTTCACCGGGGTCCGCGTAGACTTCTTCCAGATGCACACAGAGCTTCTCGCCGTAAGGGCTCATAGAATATTCATCTAGCTGCCCTCTCTGGGAACCGGGAAAATACACAGTGAATACGGCTAATGGCTTTACCTGGCTCTGGTTCCAGTCCCTCACCAGGCTTCAGTATTCCCACTTCCTCAGCTCTGGCTGTTTACTGTTAGGAAATAGTGCTCCCAAGACTGGGAAGTCCTTCCCTGCGGCTAAGGAGACACAGCAGAAACGCAGAAGAAGGCAGCCCGACAGGTGCATAGGCACAGACAAACCCTGCAGCCTCCAGCAGGCTGAAGAGCTGGTAGAGGAAGGCTGAGCATGCCTTCCAGAAATCCCTTGGCCCAATTTACAGAGCAAAGTCCATGCCCAGAGGATGAGAGACGTTAGGGAACCAGCTTAACTGCGGCCTGTCAGAGCTCAGACCTTAGCTACTGCCCTGGGAATGGCCTGCTTGGCCATTGTAAAAGACAAGGACAGTTGAGGTCAAGGCCCAACCTCACACTCCATCTCCCCCAGGGATCTGTGCCTGCCTTCTGTCTACCCCAGTACCTCCTCCTATCCTGGCAGCCCACTCATTGTCTTAAAACTATTTATTGACCGTACAAATATTTACTCTATGCCTGCTTCACACTGGGCTGCCAGGAGCTTTGCCAGGTTTGGAGAACACAGTAATCAAGGGAACATAAAACCCCACCTTGGTGGGCAGCCACTGTAGAGAGGGAGTAGGACAGGAAGCCGGCTGGCATATGTATCAGTAAGAGAGCAGAAGGGGGAAGCAGAAAAGTCATTTTGTAAAGGTGCCATTTTGTAAAGGGTGTGGCAGGTACGGCTTCTAGGAGATGTCCGAGTCAAGACCTGGACCATCCTGGCTAAGAGCCAACGGAGAGAAGAGAGGCCTTGCGCGAGGATGGGTGCTTGAGGTCCAGCAGCAGGGAGAGGAGAGGCTATGCGCACTGATGGGTGTCTGAGGTCCAGCAGAGGGGAGAGGAAAGGCCTTGTGCGATGATGGGTGGCCAAGGTCCAGCTTCAGGTTAGCATGGCAGAAAGTTCAGCAGGCAAGTGGGTGGGCACCCGCAGGGTCCCCCTGAGGGTTTAGGGTTCTTTAGGGACCCCGCTGGAGGGTGGGAACCGCCACTGCTCACCCCGCTGCCTGAGCCCTGGGGGGCGGGGCCAGGTCTCACACGCCTCACCCTTGCAGGCTCCTGCAGAGTCGCTGTGCAGTGCAGGTGCGAAAGCGCGAACACCAGGTCCGCCCCGCAGCGCGGCTGGGCGCGCGGGGCCCGAGGTGGGGTTCCAGCGGCGCCCCCGCGGCCGCGCCGCCGCCCAGCTGCCGGATAACGGGCATCAGCCTTTCTGTTTTAAAGCAGATGGACCCTTCTGAGCAAAAGACTCTGGCCAATCTGCCGTGGATTGTGGAGCCGGGGCAAGAAGCCAAGAGGGCCATTAATACCAAGTATGAAACCACGATTTTCTGATACTCGCCGCCCCGTCCTCGCGGTGCCTTGCTCGCCAAGCAGTCCCCGCAGCAGGCTTTCCTTCGCGCCTCCGTGTCCACCCGCCCGGGAGGAAGACTGCTCAGCTCGCGTGGCCTCGTCACGGGCGGAAAGGCCGCCGGCCATCCCTAGGGAGCTTTCTGCCAGCGAGACTTTGTCGCCCCTAGAGGCGCGGGGCTTGGGGGGGCTGCGCGGGGCACCCCAACTCCGCTACCACCGCCTCCGAGGTACTGTTCGACTGCCCCGTACTTGCTTTGCTTTAGTTGGGGAGAAAATCTTTTTAAAAGTGATGGAGGGGGTCTCCAGTACTGCCTAAAAGTCTACAAACATCTTGGGGTTTAAGTTTTCACCGTCAGCCGTTTTGAAGGGAAAGTCAGGACAGTACTAGCGCCCCCCCCAAAAGCATCTGTAAAATCATTGTTATCACCGAGTGCAGTCTCATGCAAAAAGACAAAGCAACCCTCACGATTGCCAGGAAATTCCGTCTCCCGATTTCTATATTTGTGGATTTTATATGTAATCGACTATGTCAGATAAAGGAAACCTTTATTGAATGATTCAAAAATTTAAAAGTGATTTAAAACAGAGGAATTTATTATGCACAGAAAAAAATGTGTCTTGTATTAAATATTTTTATTAAAAGAATGTTTCATTAATGCATTCATAAGAACATTGCGCTTGCTGTGCGGGATGTTTCTGGTTTCAAGTGACTCCATCTCTACTGCACAAGGATCGGCTCAGTTGTGACAACCTCTGACACCGTCCCAAAGGCAGGAGATCGGGCTCGCGCCCACTCGGGGTGACCCAAAGTGCTGACGCAGCCATAGCCCGCACGAGTGGTTTTTAGAAATTTTTTTTTTAACCTTCGAAGTGTTTTAAAGAACATGTTTAACAAAAATAAATATATAATCTAGGGCTCCTGCTGTCAAGATTTCTGTCATGGAAACCTTGTTTGAGAATGGTGTTAATAAAATTCTATTGCAATTTTTTTTCTAGAAAAAAATAAATAACACAAAAAAAGAAGAAATTCCAAAGTAATAAAGACTTTTCTTGAAAAAGATTAAAAAATGTTTGCTTACTATTTGATTAAATAAATTTACTTACGTTTCTTTAAGGCATTTTAATTTTTTTAATGTCTCTGTGGAGTATTTGTATGATATCATAATGTATATTTCTGTAGAATCAAATTATATAAACAGTACCAATATCATTATAGAAAAATAACATTTTAATGTATATTGTTCTAACTGATCATATTGTGACTCATTTTGAAGTTCATTATAGCGATATTGATAAATTGTGAACTTGTCTTAATGTTTTTTTATTAACCAATATTATTTTAAACCTGAGATTATCACATTCATCAGTTGATGAGTTTTGAAAAAAAAAACTAACTAAATTTCATTTCCACTGACAAATGTATATGGTTTTAGTTCAGTGTCAGAGAATTTTAATACAATATTAAATTACTTGAACTGAATAGTTCCTTGTATATATTTTGCCTATTCACTGTTGATATGTATGTAGTAACCCGAGAGGAAAATAACACTAAAATATGGTACCAAAAGGAACTTGTATAGGAGCGAAGCAGCCTGTGGCTTTGCCGAAACACATGTGTGTGTGTAAATAAGCTTGGGCTTCCAGTTATAAATTTTGTAATTTTTGTCATTATTTATATCCTATTTTAAAAAAAAAGCACACAAAATAAAACAGAAGTACAGTGACTGGTGCTTGGCATCATTCCGTGAGCACCCCCACAACACACTCCCACTGAGGAGGGGGGCCAAAGGCCCCGCCCTCTGAGCAGCCACAGATAAAGATTTTTCTTTCTTTTCTTTTCTTTTTTTTTTTTTACAATTGGCAACATCACTGAGAAAAACTTGCTCATTTCCAAATTCACACAGTCTGAAAAAGAAACACTATCTTCTGGAGCTTGAATTTCAGCCATAAGCCAACACTTCAAAGTGGCAGATAAGGGGGGATTGGTTAAGACAGACATTTCTAAGACAGAGGGGACTCCCCCGCCCCGAGAATGGACTGCTTATATAGCACAGCATAGGTGGCTTGCCTGGGAAAGTATCCACTATACATGTATACATTCTATACATCCTATACATCCTGAACATCCAACTAGACACCTTTGTCCCTGCTATAAAGTGGGTGAGGAGCCAATCAGAGTCACGCTGATCCTAAGGTCAGTAATCACCACACTGCGTGTCCTCTGACCTTCAGGTCACCCACTGCCCAGCCCATGACTGCTACCCTTGGAAACCCAAAGCAGTCTTAGGGTGTTCTCTGCCTGTCATGCAGAGGCCTGGAGCTTTGAACCCAAGAGAGCTAAACTAGGGAAAGCCGGGCTGAAAGGGACCCTGGGACACGTCTCTCCTGAAGGAGGCTTCCACTGGGCTAGTTTGCTCCTTTATGACCTTGTCTTTTCTCCAGTCCTCTTACAGACCATCTCTGTTCATCACATGTGTCTTTGTGACCATGGTGGTTCCAGCATGAGGTACATGGCACGCTCCCATCAGGAGGAATTCAAAGATATGGCTTGCATAGCGGTGTGATGGGACAGTCTCCTTCCGCTGGTGCCACTTGAAGGGGCAATAAGGACAGAGAAAGCTTCGTGGCAGGGTTAGCACCTCCAGACCGGGGGGACACACAGTTGTGGTGACCCCCAGGAAGGAAGGCAGGGGTGACCCTGATCCCCTGTCCATTCTTCACCCCTCCACCTGCATGACACAAACCCACTGAAGGTCGGGGCCCAAGAGCAGCCCGTGACCAGAGCAGGGCAGGGAATGAAAGGGGCATTGCCTGGGGCAGAAAAGCCAGCTCAGGCATGGGATATAGGATGTGTAGCTGATTTTCTTTTTATTTAAGGAAAACCTGATATTTGATAAATTCAGTAACCAGAAGGTAAAAGTGACAGCCCTTAAATGCTAACATTAATCAAAAGAGAACTTAAACGCTCCCTTTACAGAAAGACTTGAATTCAATTGATCCATTTAATGTTTTTCTTATTAAATGGTGTTCTGTAATAAATCTGAATGACTGAACCATATGAAAATTATGCTCGGCCTGTTAATAAATGATGAAAGTGGTTTTCCTCAAGCTGGCCTGCTTGGGAATGTCGCCAGCCTCTCTGATGTTTGGATAAGATGGAATAAAAGTTCCAGCTGAAAGGGTGTGTGGCTACACTTGAAAATCAGTGAAAATTTGCACTTGGACCCCAAGTAATGTTACTCCTACTCCTAAAAAGAACTGAGAATCTGTGGAGTCGTCTGGCTTCCAGTGAGCTGGGATGTAATGTCTGTGTTCAGAACTATGTATGAATAAAGCCTCTTTACTGACATTACATCTAAGTCCTGCTTGTCGGCTGGCCGTTCATTTCCTATGAGGAGCAATTAAACGGTGATAAACTCTGTCTTAATAGAAACCATGACCAACCAGCCTAGACCAGCAGCCTCTCCTCAGCCAGCCCGCCTACAGCCCTGGTCCCCACAAGTCCCGTTTGGCCCCACAAACATTTAGTATGGTTGACCCCAGGAACAGAGTCCTGCTTCCCAGAAAAACCAGCCCCCAAGCAGAGCAGGACCTGTGACCCAGTCCCCACCCAACACCTCTCTGTACCCACAGAGAGATCCTCTACATGGTCTTACTTCTGACCTGGTGGAGGGGCTGCGACAAGTCAGGCTCAAAGTCAGCTCACAATGAGGTAATCAATGCTATCAAAGCGATCCACATCCGATACCCAATACAGCTGTCCTCTGAAGTCTCCATGACTCAATCAGGCTGTCCCCACAGGGACAGTGCGTGCTACTCTCCATTCCGAGAGGCCACAAGGCAGCCCTGAGGAAAAGTTGAGACAGCCCCAGGAAGGAGCTACATCAACTATTTCCCGACATTTGAGAGACTGATTTCTGCACATTTCTCAAAGGTGCATGCCCACTGTGTGTGTGTGTGTGTGTGTGTGTGTGTGTGTGTGTGTGTGTGTGAGAGAGAGAGAGAGAGAGAGAGAGAGAGAGGGAGGGAGGGAGAGAGAGAGAGAGAGAGAGAGAGGGAGAGAGAGAGAGAGAGAAATTCCAATGTGTTGAATGCTGAGTTGGGAGACAGAAGAAAGGCACTTCCGGCATGTTTCATCAGCATTTCCAGGGTGTTCTATCTTCAGAAACCCCGGGAGGTGAGTCAGGTGTCCTTTGAGAGGAAACTATGCCTCAGCTCCAACTCATGGTCAAGAGTAGAAAGGAAGACCCTGCCTCTGCAGGCTTTCTAAGAAAGCTGGGTTCTTATGGGAAAGGAAGACCTTTTGAAATGTTGGCAACTAACCCACTGTCTAAAAGTTAAGTGTAGGGTTGGTGAGATTGCCCACCAGGAAAAGGATGAGATGGCACATTCCTGGAACCCACCTAAAGGTGGAAGAAGAGAACCAGCTCTGTCAGGTTGCCCTCTGACCTCCACACGCCTGCATGCGGCACAAGGCAGTGAAAGCGAGGGAGGTGGCGGCAGAAGATGCTGACACTGCTTCTGATATTTGATCGCTTTATGAAAGTATCCGTTATGAACTGAATCTGGTGACTAGAAGGCCAGACACAGCCATGGCTTCAACCAGGGAGTGGGTGAGTTTTCCTTCACGCAACATGAATTTCTGAGACAGGCCACGCTGGTAGCTGCCTGTCATCCGAATCCCAAGGCTCATCTAGATTCCTACACTGCCAACCTAAGCCTATGCTTTCTAGCCCTGAGGTTAAGACCTCTTCGTCTCAATGTAGCTGCCGGAACGCTATCCTGAGTGTTCATATTCCAGAGAGGAGGAAAGGATGGTAAGGACTGAAGACCGGTAGTGTTGCCTGGGCGACAGACCTTGGAAGAGGCTTTCTAGAAAGCTCCACCCTCCAACTTTACAAAGCTCCCGGCCCATCCCTACTTACTAAGACGATAAAAACTGTTATGGTTTTCGATATTTTTGACGGAGCCCAGTGGAACTCCCAACAAAGTCAAGGCTGTTAGTGAAGGAACAGGGAGAAGCTGGATTTGGGGGCGGTCACCACAGGAAGGGGCAAAAGGCAAAAGCAAGGTCACACGGGTGAGAGGAGGAGAGCCTGTAGGGGGTGCTGGTGATGATTCTGGGGACAGTCCCTTCAGCTGTGCTAGCACACAGATGTGCTCACTGGCTCCGGAGACCATGACAGCGGCAGAGCAAGGTTAAGGAGCAGCTCACACAACCCAGGGGCGTGCGTCTGTAGTGCGGAGGAGACCGGCCTGGTCAGGCATCACGGCCAAGGGCAGAGGGCTCGATGTGCCTTAATCTCTATGAAATCCTGTAATCACACAGGAATTTTAAAAACTACTGTCCAGATCCCAATCAAGCTCTGATCTCTACCTACATCCTGGAATCACATAGGAACCTTAAAAGCTACCGCCTGGGTCCCGTCTCCTGCAAGAGGGCAAGGTCTGGGATGGTGGTGAGAGGTAAGGAGCACGACAGTCCCCCAGAACTGCCCACAACAGCGGTCTCCCCCGCCCCGAAGTAGATCCCTAAGGATACTAAACCATTTGTCGGGGTCACACTGCTAGAACATTAGCCCCGTCAACACTTGCACTTGGCTCAATGGCCAGCCATGCCATCCTGTGCCGGCATGCCCAAGCCACGGGCCAGGTAGGCCCCCAGTCTTAAGCACCCCTCATCCCCCATCCTCCTGGACTGCGCCATTGGTGCACACACAGGCCTAAGGGAATGAACAGTGAGGAAGAGAGCAAGTGACAGCCTCCCTGCTCAACCAAGGGTCTCTGGAAAGGCAACAGCCACAGGGAGAAAGAAGCAGAAGCTGCTCAGATGGAGCCGAGTTCCCTGGTGCAGAAGCGGCAGGCGCCCGGCCGAGAGATGAGGAGCCCTGGGCAGGACGGGCGCCAAGAGTGACTGGGTCATCACTGTGGCCAATGCCACACGCCTGATATGTTCTCCTTTGCCTCCCATAGGCCCCGGGGTCCTTGGCATATTTCCTCTCTGACGGATGAGGAAACCAAGGCTCTGTAAGGCTGCAAATGGGAGGAAGAGGAGATAGATGACCCCAGTCTGACACCAGTTTGGAATAAATCCTTAAGGAGTTCCAAAGCAGGGGCTAGGGAGAGGGTTCCGTCCATAGAGGGCTTTCCTTGAAAGCTCTGAGGACTTGAGGGCCTGAGTTTGAGTCCCAGAACCTACGTAAAAGGCCAGACGTGGTAGAGTAGTCTGTAATCCCAGTGCTGAGGAAACAGAGGCAGGTGGATCCCTGGGAGTCAATGACCTGCCAGCCTAGGCTCGCTGGCAAACCCCAAGCCAGTGAGAGACCCATAAGAAACAAAAGAAGATGGATGGAACCTGAGAAACAACATCTGATATTGTCCTGGGGCCTGCATGTCCAAACACGCATGTGCATATTCACTGTACACACGTGAATATGCGCACACGCGCCCGATTCAAAGTAGAAACAGGCCCCTCTGAAG